CAAGGTTAATCAAACTTACAATCTAAGGTTAATATCCTTAAAGTAAACATATATGAGTTTCATAAACTCCAGATCGCGTCTAGCCAAAATATCCCGAACTGGAACATTAGGTTGTCTACCTCGAGCCCGAAGGGAATCATAAAAATGTGATCTGACTCCACGATACTCCGCACAAGACCAAAGGATGTGATCAGCGTCCTGGTAACCTTGTCCACATTCACAGAGATTGCTGTCTCCCAACCCCACACGGAACAAGTGAGCGTTTAGACAATAGTGATTGGACATGAGACGAGACATCACGCGTATGAAGTCTCGACTCAAGTTCAACCCTTTGAACCATGCAAACTTCGACACCTTAGGGATAATTGAATGTAGCCATCGTCCCAAGCTCCCTTCACTCCATTGATGTTGCCAGCTAACGAGTGACTGCTGACGATAAATAGAGAAAAATTCACTATAGGCGATCTGTCGATCATAAATGTCGCCTTCCATAGCGCCCACCTTCGCGAGTGAATCCGCCTTCTCATTGCCCAACCATGAAAGTTATCTGGCGGGATTTGCAAAACACAAATTTAAAAACGATTCTCTGCCCTGAGGAACAAAACTTTTGAAAATAATGTTTCTAAATTAGACCCGAATTCCAGCCTTTTGGAAACTAACAAACATTTTGAAGCTCACCGCTCCGAAAAAATAATTACATTTTGATATTTATAAAAATATTGGAAAAAGGTATAACAAATCTAAAAAAATTACATTTTTTCTAATTTTTCATGAAAATTCAAGGGCAAAAACATTTTTTTAAAGTCATTATGACATAAAATTGGACTCAGAAAGCCACAAAACATCGACTTTTCGGTTTTGCTGAGAGTTCAATTTTTTCCATGATGAGATAGAAAAAATATTTTTACATGTAATTTTAAGGAAGAAACTAATTTTCTTAGATTTTTGATAATTTTTCCAAATATATTTATAAAAATAAAAACGTACCGAAACTTTTTTTTATTTTCCGACCGGTAAGCTAGAAGAAGGTGGTAAAATTTTGATCACAAATTTGGAAAAAGCTCATAAACTTGCTAAGCAATTCGAGAGTTCCCATAATTTCAGTTTGGGTCTTATTAGTCCTATTGAGAATCAGGTTGCTCGGGATTATCTGGTTATTTTCTCTCGGGAAAATATTTTTGTGAATCCTGGGGGACTGATTTGGACGAAGTTAGGTCTATAACTAAAAAGTTTCATAATATGAAAGCTGATGATGGAATTTTCTATATCCTCATCAAAAAACTCCCAGAGAGTACCTTGTCTTTCTTGGTAAAATTATTTAACAGATGTTTCCATTTGGCATACTTTCCTGATAAATGGAAAAATGCAAAAGTTGTTCCAATTTTGAAGCCGGATAAAAATCCAGCTGAAGTTTCTAGCTACCGTCCAATAAGTTTACTTTCTTCAACAAGTAAACTTTTTGAAAAGATAATTTTAAATAGAATGATGCTTCACATCAATACGAACTCAATTTTTGCAGATGAGCAGTTTGGATTTCACCATGGGCATTCAACTACTCATCAACTCTTAAGAGTTACCAATTTAGTTCGTTCAAACAAATCTGAAGGCTACTCAACTGGAGTTGCTCATCTAGACATAGAAAAAGCATTCGACAGTGTTTGGCATGAAGGTTTGATTGCAAAATTGAAAAAGTTTAATTTTCCACTCTTTATTATGAAATTAGTTCAAAATTATTTAACTGATAGAACTCTGAAGGTAAATTAACAAAATTCCAAATCTGAACGACTACCTGTTAGAGCAGGAGTTCCTCAAGGTAGCGTTCTTGGGCCTATATTGTATAACATTTTCACTTCGGTCCTCCCTGATTTGAATCAGGGTTGCCACAAATCTTTATTCGCTGATGACACAGGCATTTCCGCTAAAGGAAGAAGACTTCGTGTTATTTGCAGCAGACTGCAGAAAAGTTTAGATATTTTCTCTTCTTATTTACAAAAATGGAAGATTTCGCCCAACGCTTCCAAAACTCAACTTATAATATTTCCACATAAGCCTAGAGCTTCCTTTTTGAAACCTAGTAGTAGTCACATAGTCACTATCAACGGAGTTCCAATTTCCTGGTCAAACCAAGTGAAATATCTTGGATTAGTACTTGACCAAACATTAACTTTTAAAGATCACATTGAGGGCATTCAAGCCAAATGTAACAAATATATAAAATGTTTGTATCCTCCTATAAACAGGAAATCCAAACTTTGCCTGACGAATAAACTTCTAATATTTAAACAAGTTTTTAGATCGGCCATGCTTTACGCTGTGCCAATATGGCCTAGTTGTTGCACTACCAGGAAAAAAGCACTTCAAAGGATTCAGAACAAAGTTCTGAAGATGATTTTAAAGTTGCCTCCCTGGTATTTCTGTTGAGACTTTAGAACAAATGTCCAACAAAATAATTAATAATTTCAAGCAAAAATTGAATTCCCTTTATACTTAGATAATATTTAGTTTTAGTTTTTAGGTTTAAGATTTCAATTGTTATACTGACATGCAACCTGTTTAAAATACTGAATTGCCAAGGTAGGAACAATGTAAAACACTTACACACTTAAATTTTTTCGCCGAGATTCCAACAGCCGAGTAATTCTGCAATTGATTTTGCTGAGATTCAGTCAAACAATTGCCGAGACTCAGCTAACAAATATCATTTTGCTGAAATATCAGCTAACAAACAGATATTTTGCAGAGATATCAGCATAAGTGAATGCCGAAGTAATCGGCTGTTAGAGATTTTACCGAGCTAGATTAAGTGTGTAGATATATATCATAACAATTAAGGCTGTAGTAACTGGAGCACCTAGGTTAAAATGAAATGTAATTTATTTTGAATTTGGAACAAATAAAGAGTTAAAAAATAAGTGAGGAATGATTCACACTACTACACTCAAAATCATTATGTTATTCTCAGCTATCTGTTCTGCTCAATTCTGCGTTCATCGAAGAAAATAGAAGCAATGAGAATGCGAACGAAACCAGTGCTGCTCGTATGAACTACTGCTCGTTTCTGATGTTGTATGCGTATGAGTGGATAGTAAATGTAAAATGAAACGATTTTCCCATGCTTGACACTAACAGACTGAGTGAAACCTCTTTCGATTTAACTCATATTTGAGAAGTTTTACCTAGAAAATCGAAGAAAATGCTACTCACTTAGTGAGTAAATCCACTTTTTTTTTTGTAAAATTGAGTCGAATCAATTATGACTCGAATTCCTCGTCCGTGTAACAATTGTAGTACATTCAGACTGAATTTTCTGTTATAGTTGATATCATGTAATATAGGCTATCTTGATATCAAAAGTCATACATATGATTTCTGATGAAAATTTGCTAAATGAGTGCTCATTGCAAGACACACGTGATATCAGCTATAGTTTGAACGAACTATTAGACACATATTTTATAATCGTGATTGATTATGCTGGCAAGATCGTCACCCAGGGCATCTTAATTTTCTACAAATTGAGCAACGTTCCAAGTATGACTTAGAAATATTCAGTATTTTTAAGTGTTCCCTTTGTCATAAGAATTGATTACCATGCCATAACAAAATAATCATTTTGACATTATACTAGACAGCGGCGCCTGTGGTGTTGTGGTAAGCATGATTGCTTCTCACTTCAATGGTCCTGGGTTCAATCCCAGTCGGCGCCGCCGGGATGTTCTGAGGCATAAAATCTCTGATCACGCCTTCTTTCGGAAGGGAAGTAAAGCCGTTGGTCCCCGGTCCATGAGTTGATGGGTTGATAGGTAGGGTCCAGGTGTGGGAGATGCTCCCCTTACATCGGTAGCATTGGTATTCAGTACGGAAAACAAGTCAAGAAAAAATATATACTAGGCATTTTTTAAAAATAATACTAAAAAGTTTCTAATAGGGGAAATCCAGGTAAAACCTACACTGGGGGTATTATCGACACCCTTTGAATTTACAGATTATTAGCCGATTTTAACAAAGTTTTATGCACACTTGTGATTTCTGATGGTCCGAATCACCCTATATCTTCCAAATCACCCTACCTACCTAATATTATTTACGATCGAAATTTATTCAATGCTCTATGAAAGTATTCTCCATCTTACCTTCATTATTAATCCCTATTCTACGTAAATTGATTGCACGTATTATAAAATTGATGCTTGTCACGGTTTTCGATGAACTAGCCAACGGCTAATAATCACAATAATAAAGCAGAAAAAACATCTACTTGATCTTGCGAGATCTTAAGTTGAGTTGAGATTATTGATTCAAATCTTATTCAACGCGTTACATTTACATAACGCACACAAAACGCACGAAGATTGTGATTCAATAGTTTTTCTGTGGTATGGCCAACAACTATGGCCAAAACTGGTGCACTTATCTGTTGAAGAACAGAACAAATCCAAATCAAAATCCGTTCTAGATTCTGACAGCTGCTACACTTGTATCATTAGTTGTGATACATTAAAGAGCTTACTTATATTTGTTTACTTGCATCTACAAATATTTCTGAGTAGTCAGTATAGGGGAAAAAGGTGTAAAACGCACCAGCGGGGTAATATAGTTTAGTCTAGCTTTCTTTATTAATGAGGCTTTCAGCCTTTGGCTGATTCACCTCCGCGGGATAATATAATCTACAGCATTTACAACTTATTGGTGGGCAGCTGATCTACAATTTAGTGAAATTTTCATATAAGTTGCTGCTTCAAAAGTGCTTGAAAAATGGTCGATGGTTATATTACCTCACTGGCGCGTATTACACCCAGTTCCTCTACCTGAACAAAAATCCTAAAGATCGAAATAACAACGAAAAATATCAAATTCTAACTTTACCATTCAGTCGGAGATTGGTTCGTGTTTTTTCATTGGAATTTTGTATGATGAAAATACGAGATGAACTAGCCAAAAAGCTAATAGTCTCACTAATAAAGCTTAAAAAAATGTATGGCGAAACAAACAATACTTACCGGAGTAATGTACACCAAGCCCGTGCAAAAACCAACGCAAGATAAAATTAGCGCAATATGCCAATACTTCTGTTTTGGGAAGGAATCCCAAAATGCAGTGATTATCGAGCTGATAAAAATTATAGAATGAGTATTAAGAACTGTATCAATTTCAAATTAATGTACCTTTGTAGAGCGACTGCCGATCCTACACCTAGGACGAATAACATGAAGAAGAACAGTACTGAGAAGAGCTGCATTATATATATAAAAAAAAGTTCAATAATTATTGGCTCTGTGGTATGTCTTATAAATTACCTGTGGAACAACATCAAATTTTGCGATTGCGTCTGGATACGAGATAAACGCTAGGCCAGTGCCGCTTTTGACTACTTTGGAAATATCCTCGATTCCCAGATTGTGTGCGAGATTTCCCAGGATACTGAAAATCGTTATGCCTCCTAATAAACTAGTAAAAGTATCCAGTGTTGTCACGATCATTGCATCTCTGAAAAGGATTGATTATAAAATGTTTGTTGAAAACCTTTCAACCTCTTTCAAATGCCGTCATGCCGGGTTTCTTTGGATTTGGTGTGCTATATTGAACACAATCATTTGGAGTAAAATATTGGAATTTGACAAGCTTTGCAATCTGTTTATTTAAAAACGCTTTTATATTTTGTAATTTCAATCTTTCCTCAACTGACGTTTATGAATACCACGCGTAGAAAAAATGTCACATTAAAAAAACAGTTTGTAGAATCAACGAACACTTAATTGATCTTACAACCATTTTGTACATTCACGATACATTCCACATGAAATAATGATAAATAGAATATTTTTGTATCAATGCAATTGCTATTAGGCATGAATTTAAAAAGCATATCTCTGCGTGAAGCATTGCAATATCTTGATGCAGATATTTTGTTCGACCCACCAATTTTTGCAAATCGTAGCTAGGCTTGCAACGGGCAAAAATAAGCAAACACCTCTCAAACTTATCCACTGATTTTTGTATGTGTGATTAATTTATGTATGATTTGAACAATCATAGTTCATACAATTGAAATGTGTATTGATATTTTTTAGGGTTAAACAATTACAAAATAGAGCCAGATATTAAATGATGCTTAAGGCATCTTAGAATTAATTGAAATATCATGTTTTACTGTTGGGGTGCTGTTAAGTTGGGAGTTCGCTTGGGTGACATCTCAACTACAGATTTTTTTGACGTTTGCTCATTTGGGTAAATTATAAGTATAGGTGCGCGTATATGTACACGGTTTTCTTGCACTTATACTTAAAATTTATCGAGATGAACTAGCCTACGACTAAAAATCTCCCCAATAAAAGTTAAAAATTAAAAACATAATTTATCCCCATTTATGCACTAATATTTGGGCATTCAGAGAAAATCTAAAGCAGTCCCTAAGCAAAGCCGAGTATAAGATCTCTTCTATATGCAGTCGATTTATGTGTTTCTGCAAATGTCTAGTATAAGAATTTAATTCGTTTGTCTTTTGTATCTCTTTATTAGCTTTTGTTTACCTTGTCCCCCGTCTCGATGAGTCTCATAGTCGCCCACTGGTCACCATAGCCGGTCGAACTCCAGACGAATCTAGAACCACACTACCGTTCATACTGGCGACATCGCTCTGATGGACAACGAAACCCTACCCCCAAGCTCCTCCCCCTTTTCCTATCCTTCGATAATGTACCCCTCTAACCTCGAGTAAGCCGCGAGCATTCGGCCCAACTTCGACTAGACATAGAATAAAGTAAATTTTGTTACAAACAAAGAATAATGAATTATCGCCTCTGTAAAGCTAACGCGATTGAGCCTTAAAAATAAACGAACTAGATAAAAAAAAGTCGAGCATAAAAATGAACGCAAAATGAAAACAAGACTTTGGTTTGCTTTCAACATCACACATAATTTAAAGACATAATTTGATTCCAGTTTTTGATTTTTAAATAAAGAATTAATTTGATTTTGCTGTAATTTTTTAATTAAAAATTTCGCAAATTTTTTCTCACTCATGCATAAAAGAGTCTTCTTTAGTTATCATTGAGAGCAATGAGGAATGTTTTGCTCACAATTAACCATTAAAACACCAAAACGAGAGCAATACAAGGACATCACAAAACTATTTTTTCCTCTCTGTTAAGGACATAAATCTATTGTACAGGGGCCCAAGATCAAAATTTAGCAAGACAAACGTCTTGTGGTTTAGTTTGAAATGTTCCGGCCATTTTTCGGAACTGTAGGACAAAATGAAATAATTAGGTAAACTGATTCGTTTAGAAGAATGTATCTTTAATTTGACGGCAAAATTGTCCGAATTTGTGCACACATGATTTGTTTATCTGAAGTTAAATTAAGAATAATTTAATTTAATTAAGTGACCTACCGCATCTTGTTTCTAATCCTATTGCATAACTTTTAACGAAAAAAAAAATGCGAGGCTCATGAAAGTTCGATAATATTCTTGTTTCAATACCCCGTGAGTAGTCAGTAATGGTAAACTATTTGAATATATATGACAAAGGCAATTCCCATCGGATTAATCAACTTTTTTTACCTAGGTACGTTCATCTTTCTCTAAGAAGAGTTAACCAATGATTACTCAAAGAAACCCTGCACAACGGTGTTTATAGTAATGTCTTTTTATATCAAGGTTCATATTCTGTAACCTACATTCTGAAAAATAATTAATAATTTAATTTCTTAAACATTCATAAACTTAAAGCACTTTGCAGAGGTTGGCACTAAGATTGCTAATCGCTAAATCATACTTAGGGAAATTATTATATTTTCTTATATTAATAGGGGAAACGCTCCTATAGTTGTGGTACGTTAGAAGCGTTAGGTTCCTATAGTTGTGCATGGAGACTCAATACAAAACTATAGGAACCTAACGCTTCTAACGTACCGAAACTATAGGAGCGTTTACCCTATCAAATATTAATGTGATTTAAAAAAGTAGATACAATATTACAAAATCTGTGTACATCGTACAACGTAATACTACACAAGCGATGGAATGACGTACGTATGTGCAGTAGTTTTGATGTAATATACATCAACTTTTTTTTGTTATGTGGTCTATACTGCCGTTCTACGCATAAGAGTCCCACGGTGCATAAGGATTGCATAGAACATGGGACAGTTATGCGTATAACGGCAGTATAGACGTCCAAAACACATGCATAGCAAACAAAGTTGTTGAATATTACAGATTTAGGCTGTGTGCTTTTTTGAAAAAAATCCAATCCGATTGATAGGGTAAACGCTCCTATAGATGCGGTACGTTAGAAGCGTTAGGTTCCTATAGCTGTGTATTGTGTCTCCATGCAAACTTTAGGAACCTAACGCTTCTAACGTACCGCAACTATATGAGCGTTTCTCCTATGTGTTTTTAATAAATCAGGATAAAATCTCTGGACAATAGCTTAATGTTCCAGATTTCAGTATTCAAAATATGAACAAAAACAATACAAATGATAACTGATGTGAAAATTAAAATTATTTACTTGTTACAAATGATTAGTATTGTTAAAGAAATGATATTTCTTACCTATATATATTGTGATGAAAATTATTGTAAGATGAGAACATTATAACACATCCCATGCCTACAGAGAGCGAAAAGAACAACTGGGTAGTAGCAGAGTACCATACCTAGTAGATGAAATATATGACAAAGAATTACTGAAAGAATATGTTAGTCACAAAACATTTTAGTCATTAGACAGGACCAGTACACCTACCTATAGGAGTCGTGTTTGAAATTATTATACGAGGAGTACATAATGACCGGTCCCATTCCAACTGCTAGTGAGAAAAAGCACTGAACCACTGCTTCCTTCCACACCTGGTTCGATGATGCGAGAAGCATTAGCTCAACTTTCGTGCTTTAGATTTTGATATTCTAATTCTAGTTGGCTAAATGCGTTAACTTACCTTTGGATTGAGTAATTCGCCCCATTGCGGTTTGATGAAGAATATCACTCCATCGATGGCTCCTTCAAGCGTAAGTGCACGAATCAGGATGATTATCATCACGACATAGGGAAATATCGCCAAAAAGTAGGCAGCCTTCCCGGAGCTTTTCACACCACGCACGAGCACCAAGAAGATAATAATCCATGCCAGCAATAGCCAGAGTGTGAGCTTCCAGTCTGGCGCGCCGATGCCGTCGTCGATGCTTTCTTTCTCTCTTAGTACGATATCTCTACAAGGGAACATTTCATGACAGCATTTGATTTAGTACTTTACTTGCAGTAGATGTTAGTATAAAAACTAAGGCAATTACAGACTACATCACATTTATGGTGGTCCAACCTGTATTAAATTTTCCGTCGCTGCATGCGAGCTTTGGTAAATGTTTTCGAAAAATCGGAATGATCTGATCGGGAATCAATCCTACACACTAAAAAAAATCTGAATTTTACTGGTGATGTCATCCATGCATGTAAACTTCCTTTTCACGTAAACTAGCAGCTTGCAAGAAATGTTGCAAACAAAGGTGGAAAGTTGCATACAATATATGGAATATTGCATGACATGTCTCATAAATTTACACGATCTATAATGTAAATTTGTATGATTATGACGCTCCATTTATGTGCATCATAGTAACGGAAATTTACACTACTTTTTTTTAGCTGTGTAGGATAAATTTTGGTAGAGCTTACCATAGCCGTAGCCAGATGGGGACAGGGCGGGTACTGTTCCCTCCTTACTCAGTATCACAAATTTTCCAAACCTTTTTAAAAAATTTGCATGATCAATAATCTGTAAATATCATTAAAGTGGTTCGCTGTGAGATCCTTATTCTCGCTACTACTTCGAAACTGTAAGTGCACAAATATCAGCTTCCACGACATGTACTACACCGAAACTGTTACTCCACGTTTGCTGCGCTGTAGCATACATGCAGTAGCAATTTCAAGTGAAACGGAACTTTAATTTCCGAGATTTGTGTAATTGAAAATTCGAGGTGGAAGTGCATTTATAGCCTATGTGGCGGCCATTTGTGGACTCTACAAGGAATCACCTTAAGCTTCAAGTCTAAATTTTCTATACCCCATGGAACAATTGTGCGTCCACCAGTAGCATAGAGACTGGACATTCCTTTGAGTCGTTGAGTCATTAATTTTCTTCGAAGGTTACTAGATTGAACGTTATTGGGCTGCATGGTTCATTAGACCGAATATTGGATAGTAAAAATTATTTCTAAAATTATTTTTTAGTATGTATCCTTGAATTAAAAAAACAAATAATAGATTCAGGTTAATCAAAAATGCAAATGCGAAATTTTTAAATGAAAAAAGAAAATAAAAAGAAACTTCTTTTTTATTCCTTTAGTAGAGAGACTTTTTGCCGTGGGATGAAATATATTAAAGTTTCTGCAATTTGTTGTAATATTCAGGATTCGAATACTACGACTAAAACTTAAAAAAAAAATCCATTCGATGGGACTTACAGAAGTATTTCAGGTGTCTAAGAAACAGAAGAATTATTAAGGGATTTTTGAAAAGAATAGAACGACATTTCGAAAGATAATTCCAAAAATAAGAATTTCTGTGGCATTCTGTACAAAATGCAATAATTTTCAAATTTTGAATACTAACTACTGGACCAAAGTTATAACATTTTTCAAAATTTACTCTGAAGATGCACAACTGATGTCTTCTGAATTAGTTTTGTAAAATTATGAAGCGAAAGTAACAGTCGAAACCTTATTCTATACACATGGCAACTTTGTTGAAAATTTGGAGGAAAAATTTAATTCATAAGAATATTTATTCAAGTAACCGACCAAATATTTGGGGTCATCCCACAGTATGGTGTTTCGCTATTGTAAGTTAAGGGAAAATTTTAATTTTAAAAAATATGATTAGCCATGAAATTTTAATTTATGAAATTTTAAAATATGATAATGACCAAAAAATTTTTTCAGGTTTTGTTTGCAGGCTGATCCCAAACTTGAATACATATTTCCATGATTTAAAAATTTTCAAAATTTTACACCAAATGTTGTCAACTGGAGCCCGTTGGGTGTTGAATAAGGGTCTACCACCCCTTTTATTTCAAAATTTGGCCGTCCCAATTCTAAGAGAATCATTCATGATTATTCAGTATAAATTTTGAAATATGTTGTAACATTAAATGTTGTAATTTTAGTATACAAAAGCTGTAAAATATTTTGAACCATTTATATACGAAGTAAGTTTCATTAAATACCTTTCAAATGACCTAAGGAGAACGAAAATGGTACGTAAATGACAGAGATATGAACATGAAAATGCATTTTTTTGGGTGACCCAAAACTTACCTTCGGGAGTGTAGATTAAATTTCACTAAATTATATTCGTAAACGATTTCTCGTGCTTGAGAATTTTTTTTAAGAAAAGTGTTGAAACCAATTTTTAATCAAACAATAAATTAAGTCTGGTTCATAGCATCCCTGAAATAATGTTTCACTTTAAATTAATTTTGAAAATGACTGCTATCCTGAGCAATTGGTGGTCATCATTGCATTAAATATCCTGAGGATAATTCTCACATTTGAGAAAACCGATTTCAGTACATACCTATGTAAGGGAAACAGTCCTATTATTGCGGTACGTTAGAAGCGTTAGAAACCTATGGTTGTGTATGGAGGTCTCCATACACAACAATAGGCTCCTAACGCTTCTAACGTACCGCAATAATAGGACTGTTTCCCCTACGTTATTAATTATTTTGTACAGCAAATGTTGTCATCCTTTTCAACAACATATTTATGCTTTTGACATTCACAAATCATGTTCATAACCTTCATGATTAATTTGAGCAATTTTATGACAGTTCATAGTGTGTATCTTTTGAGTCTATTTTTTAAATGAAAAGGAGAGCTATTTTTAACCTAAGATGAAAAGTTAAACTCAGTTTTTAACAAGTTGCGACACCATTAACAGAAAAATATCTAATAAATCAGCATTACAATTTCTGGATTACAATTCAGGCTAACTATCAGCACGAGATGATTTTCTAGTGTTGGTGCATTGGATAAACTTAGTACGAAACTTAACCAGACGTTAACATTACAGAATTAACTTAAATGCAGAATTAATTAAAATTCATTTAAACTTCACCAAAGTGGGTGTTTCAAGAGCTGTAATAAACGGATTGGCAATATCTTATTTTAATTCACTCGCCTAATTCACTCCAACCCTAAAGAGTCGCAATCCAATATTTTCACATACATTATGATTGATATCTCTGAGTCGGGGCCCCCTCCAAATTATAAGCCCTGACTTTAGCCCACCATTAACGGCAGGGTGGTTAATACAACACTGAATCAAAGAGAATTGGATATTATGGAAATTTTTAAGGGGTTCTGAATAGCAATTTAATAAATTGTTAGAGCATTCCTAGAGAATTCCACAAAGGTATGATAAGGTTTAGGGGTATTTTGAGTAGTATTTAAAAAGTTCTGAGAATGAACTCATAGACATTCTGAGAAGAATTTCAATAGAATTCTGATGATAATTTTAAATTATAGGCAATAAAAACTAAAGAAAAAATCCAGAGTAAATTACAAGTAGAATTGGGCTTCATTTGATGAGTCTATATGAAGTTTGAGCCATTCTAGTAAAAGTCTTCTCATTTGACTGCCCTGTTTCTTGAAGTATAATGAACTGAAGTCAATCTTTGAAAAGCTATTAATATGACTAAAATTTATTCACAACAAAAGCAGTTAGTTGATCTACCAGCAGCCACTATTTGAAGAATTTTGATGCACATTCTCAAAAGTTACAACTCATTGAACTTTTTCTGAGAGATAAAAACACGATGTAGAATCAGTTCACAAATTACGCAACTAAAAAAAAACAATTTTTACACTCCCCCTCTTCCCCTGTGACGAAGCATATCTCATTCCCCATGGTGAAACGCGTTAAATGATGTAAATTTTTCTGGGAAGACATAAATCAAATTATTAATTGTTTTATTTGAGATTTAGTTGGTAAAATGTGCTGTCCATAAACAGCTTCTACAAGGAGGGTAAGGGATTTTAGAACCGTCTAACTTGACAATCATCCATACACCTTAAACTGATGCAAAATGTGAAATTTTCGCTCCACAGTGCTCAAACGGTTCAAAATTGGGTCGTGATTAGCCCCCAAAATTTAGGAAACTCGTTTAGGAAGAAACTGATTTGGCACAAACCATTTGAAGTTTATATAGAAATTGCTTGCAACGTTTTTTCGGTTCTGGCAGTCTAAATAACAGCAAAAATGGTTTTTCTATCATCCGACGGATTCGGCTATATATTTAAAAATTCTAAAGGATTAGAGGCACGGTTTATTGTTACTATGCAGTGGCCAACAAAATGTAGGGCACTACTGCACAGTAACAAGAAAACGTGCCTCTAATCTATAAGATTGGTTAAAACCGTCGGACGTAGAAGCAAAACCGTTTTTGCTGTTATTAAGACTACCAGAACCTGAAAAAAAAACGTTGCACTAAAATCCAAATCCAGTCGTCAAATAACCTTATAATGGAAATTATTATCGTTTTTACCAATTTTGTTGTTCATATCTATCTAAAAATTCACCATATCGCACGGCTTTAAAAAATGATAGTTTTGCATGCGCAAAATTCTCTCACTAAAATTTTTTTGAAGACCACTTTTCAATAAAATTAATGCTTATCCCGAGCAGAGAATAAAAAAAAAAAATGAAAACTAAGTTTGAAATTTTGATATAACCGTTCGTGATAACAAATTTGCCTACCGTGTGGTCGAGTTAACAGTAATCATAACAAAAATGAGATATGGATGAAGGATATCAAAAAGATAACAAATCATGTTTTCTTGATAAAAAATCCATGTATGGGTTTTGATATTAGTAATTTCTTTAATTGTAAACAAAATAAGTAATCAATATGTTATTATAACTACGGTAGGAAAACAAAAAAAATAGTTATTATTTTGATATCATGATATAAAATTTAGTAATCTGAATGTTTTGAAATAATATTGGTTGATATCAAGATTCAAAATCAAAAAATGTTATCAATAAGTTTTCATTTCTTCAAAATAAAAACAAACCTATATTTCAATCAGTTTGATCGATGATCTTATATCACTTAGTAAATTGAATTCACAGGTAGATTAATATCACACCGACCTCGGCTGGGACTGAATCCAGACCCATTGGGGTGAGAAAGCAGTCACGCTTACCA